CTAGCTTAGTTACTGTCAATCAAGATTGGAGCTCTGCCACACTAACCACACTTCTACTTCCAGCTTTTTGCTGGTTAATTGGAAATAAGTATATCCAGTGTTTATCTGTTGGCCTGGCTTCAAACCTTGATCCTCAGACCTCTGCCTCTTGAGTCACTAGTATTGAAGGTATGGGCTACCAGCTCCCTACTTGGTTGTTTTTCTATAAAGCAAATGACGCTTGTTTTGGTGGCTGCACAGGAAAGAATTAAATGAGTCGCTATAATGAGGTTGAGGCACTGTGAATAAAACCTTGTGTTTCTCAATATTCTTAATGTTTAAAATAAAAATAAATACAAATTTTTATCATTGTTCTTTTACCAATATAATGATATCTTTACAGAAACCATTTCCATTTCTTGCACATAGTACCATAATTTAGTTTTCTAATTTGAATAAATTTACCTATAAAAATTCAAGTTTTATTGCAGTGTTTTTCAGAAACTGTTTTTTTGGTGCCAATTTTGTGTTTGGGGAATTTAGAAATTTTTCCTGCTAGTCTAATATATAGTCAGATTCCCCCGACAACATTTTGGATCCTCAAAGGCATCTGGGTGTTGTGTAGCATTCATTTTGGTTTGGGTCTTCTTGCTCTATTTTGTATTGTCTTGAATAGAGCTCTGAGTCATTACTCGATCTGTGATTTTTTTTTCTTCAGAGGGTGAGTTACAACTATTTACATGTTTTTTTTTAAATACAACCTTAGGTCTTTGCTTTGTTTATCCATTTTAGTGCTACCTTTTGATCTTATAAGGATAGGCTTATAATTCTTATGTCATTCTCTTTGCTTTAGCTCTTTTGATATTTACTAAGGTTAGTATTTTTGTTTTCATTGATTATTCCTGTCATTGTACCTTTAAATAATATATCCAATAGTCTTTGCTGTGGCTTGAATATTTGTCCCCTCCAAATCTCATACTGAAATTTAATTCTCATTGTCGCATGATTAACATAAAGATTTTTAGTAGGAGATTAGGCTATGAGCTCTACAACATCATGGGGAGGAACAATGCCATTATACAAAGAAAGTTTAGCTCTCTTTTCACTCTCTTGCCTTTCTACCCTTTGCTATGGAAAGATCCAGGCAACATACATGGTATTATCTTGGAAGAAGAGAATGACATCGCCTGACCCTGAACATCTTGGCCTGCTGACATTGTGACCTTAGATTTCTCAGTCGTCAGGACTGCGAGGTAATTAACTTTTGTTTATAAATTACTGAGCCTGTGATATTCTGCCATAGTAAGACAAAATGTACTAAAAGATAGTCTCTTTCATTAAAAGGCAGATATTACTATGGCCTCTCATATGGAGAATCAGCAAAACTAATTTATGTCCCTTTCCTTTCATATCAGTACTATTTTTTAACTCTTTCTGTACCACTCTACAAATTATGTTTCAAAGAAGGTCGTATGTGGGGAAGTGAGAGGAAAATGTGATTGAAACTGGTAAGTAATCAATAGGTTAAAGTTTCATTTTGAGCATCTTTTGTGTGCCAGGCTGGTGGTGCAGCAGGTGATAGGAGTAGAATCAAGTCTTTACCCTCAGGAAACCCAGAAGGCAGGTGACCAGGTAGATAATAAGAGTGTTGTACGAAAATGCTTCTGAGTAATATTCCCCAGCAGAGCTTCATATTTCTTATTGCTTTGTCTTCACCTGGAGACTTCAAGACATTCTGAGAAAATAATCTGCCTAGTTATTTAAGTGCTGTACATAATAAGCTCTATTAGGACATCTTCATAACAAGACATGATTGCCATAATTAGCCAGGAAATTGCTGCTAAAACTTAGTTGAGATAAAACATATTTAATTCATATTTTTCTCAAGATCAATCTTTAAAAAATGTTGTTAGACCAAGTAGTTAGGAAAATAAGCTGATCTTCAAGCACTCTTATAAAGCAATGGTTTGCCTTTCTTTCCCCTAAGGGACAAACAATTTTATTTTAAATTCTTTGGTTATATTTTGCAAAAAAGGAAACATTTTAAAGGAAATCCTATTAGCATATGTTTTGCATGTCTTAACATGTTGTAGATATGAAATTTGTTATCATGATCAGATGACGTGGCCAGAAGAGTTTGTAGTTATCCTGTAACAATAGGTAGCAGCTATAGAACTAACTGTCAAACATCGACCTAGCTACCACTCTAAAATTTACTAATTAAAATTCTGAGCGATCATCCCTCTGCATCTGTAAAATGGGAACACGACCACTGTGGGAACTGAATGAGATCAGTAAGAAGACATCTTTATTAATCTGAGAAACCTTACAAATCAGGTAGAGTGGCATATTGTTTTAAAAACCTAACTCCTGAAAAATAGCAGCTTCAAATAACAGATGATTATCTTATGGATTTTGAGGGTCAGGAATTTGAACCATTTAATGGGATGATGTTGGCAAGGATGTAATCAATGTGTTCACTGAGGATATAGTCATGTCAAGGCTTAATTGTGGGAAAATCCGCTTGCCACTTCACTCAAATATATGACTATTGGCAGGATTCAAATCTTCACTGGCTATTAGCTATAGGCATCAATTCTTTGCCATGTGAGCCTATCCATAGGGTAGATAAGAGATTCAGTGTGATACTCACCTAATCAAAATTCCAAGGGCATTTTCACAGAAATAGAAAAAAATGATGCTAAAATTCATACAGAAACGTAAAAGACCTTGAATATCCAAAACAATCCTGAGTAAAATAAGCAATGCTGGAGTATCTTGATTCAAATTATACTACAGAGCTGTATTAATAAAACCAGCATGGTACTGGATACATACACCACTTGCATGGACTAGATGATCCAGAAGGTATAGTCATCTGATATTTACCAAAAGTGCTAAGAATATACATTGGAGCAAAGACAGCCTCTTCAACAAATTGTGTTGGGAAACTGGATATCTTCATGTAAACGACTAAAACTAGATCGATATCTTTCACTCTGTACAAGAATCAATTTAAAATTTATCAAAGTCTTTAATGTAAGACCAGAAATTTTTAACATATTACAAGAAAACATAGGGAAACACTTGAAGATATAGGCAGGCATAGGCAACAACTTGGGCTCCAATTTCTGAAGAAATTGAAATAAGAATAATATTTAAGGACAAGAAGGACAAAATAGGGTTGTGTCAGATTTAAATCTTCTTCCCACCAAAGGAAACAATTACCAGAATGAAGGGCCAGTCCATAGACTAGGAGAAAATAATCTCTGTAACCTACTCAGACAAAGTTTAATTTCCAAAACATATAAAGAGCTTAAAATGACAAATAGTTGGCTCAATAAATGGGAAAAAATAAACTGAACATAATTCTTAAAAGAAGCACAGATTACAAAAGAAGAAAGATTGAACATTCTTAACTATTAAAGAAGTGCAAATCAAAATGGCACTGAGATTCTAGCTCATCCATCTTAGAATGACCATCATCAAGAAGCAAAACAAAGCCAGGCACCAGTGGCTCATACGTATAATCCTAGCTACTCAGGAAGCTAAGATCTGAGGCTCATGATTTGAATCTAACCTGGGCAGGAAAGTGCTTGAGACTCTTATCTCCAATTAATCATCAGAAAATGGTAAGTGGAGCTGTGGCTTAAAGTGATAGAGTGCTAGTCTTGAGCAAGAAAGCTCAGGGACAGCATCCAAGCCAAGCCCTGACTTCAAGCTCTACAACTGACAAAATAGAAAACCAATAATAAATGCTGATGAGAGTGTGTGTGTGTGTGTGTGCGCACGCGCGCATGTGCATGTGAGGAACCCTTATATACTGTTAATAGGAATGTAAATTAATGCAGCCACTATGGAAATCAATGTGGAGATTCTGAAAAAAAAATATGACCCTGCAATTCTGCTCTTGGGCATGTATCTAAAGAAATGGAAGTCAGGGCTGGGAAGGTGGCTCAGTGGTAGAGCGCTTGCCTTGCATGCATGAGGCCCTGGGTTCGATTCCTCAGCACCACATAAGCAAAAAGAAAAAAGCCAGAAGTGGCGCTGTGGCTCAAGTGGTAGAGCGCTAGCCTTGAGCTGAAGAGCTGAGGGACAGCACCCAGGCCCAGAGTTCAGGCCCCACGACTGGACCCAAAAAAAAAAAAAGAAATGGAAGTCAATATAAATAGAAATATCTGCACAGACTTTTTTTTTTACAATATTATTCACAATACTCATGGAAACCACCCGTGTGCCTGTCAACCAATGAATGGATGAAAAAAAATGTGGTAATACACACACACACACACACACACACACACACACACACACACACACACACATATACTGGTATAGTATTTAGCAATAAAGAAGAATGAAATTATGTTGTTTGCAAGAAAATAGATGAAACTGGAGATTATCATCTTGATAGAAATAAGTCAAACTCAGAAAGAGACATATTGCATATTTCTCTCATAGGCAAAATCTTGACCTAAAAATCCTCTTATATGATTATAGAAGGAGGATTAGGGTGGGAAAGGAGAGAGTAACAGGAGGTGAATATGATCAAAATATACTATATGTATGCATGAGTAAGAGAATGAGTGATCAAAGTACATTATATTCATATAAGATTATATATATATTCATATAAGATTATATATATCACAATAAAAACCCTTTGTACTATTTGTGCTAAATTTTTTTGGAGCTACTGTCCATTATACCCAGGCAAGGCCCTCTAAGTTTCTTTTCAGGGGAAATAGAGAAGTGAAGGTATTGGTCTGAGAAGAGTGGTCCTAAGGGTTAAGGTACTAGGAGTTATAGCTTAAGATACATTCTAATGTTCAGTGCTTTGTGGATTAAGCTGTCTAGGATGACAAGAGCCTTGTGTGGTTATACTCACAGGGTCTTGTTTAAGGCCAGGGTGCTTTGTGTCTACTGAAGAGGCTCACTCCCCTTTATCCTATACCTTCAGGTGCCCACATCCCAGTTCCTCCTGCCACAGTCTGGTATACTGTCCCTGAGCACAAGTTATCATGTCTGGTGGTAAGAGGAGTCAACTACATGAAGAACACCAAGAGGAGGAACTCTGCCTGGCTGGAGGTGAAGAACCAAATCTCCAGGATGCTCAAGCCACTGCAGGAGAGGAAGATGAGTATCCATGTTCTTCCTTTGCTGTTTCTGGAAGCACTTCCCCAACCAGCTCTACTGTAGGTTTTCCCTGGAAATGTCAGAGAGTTCAACCTACCTGCTTTCCTGATGTAGATGTTTCATGCAAGTATTCTGATGCAGGGGATGAGAGCGAAGTAGAAGAATGTTCAAGCTCCTCCAGCACCTCACCCTTCTTGGAGAGCCTAGGAAATGATCCTTTGGCCACAAAGGTAGGCATGTTGGTGGATTTTCTGCTGTACAAATATAAAATAAAAGAACCCATTAAGAAGGCTGAAATGCTGAAGATGGTCCCTAAGAAGTCCTTCCCTCAGATCCTCTGGAGAGCTGCTGAACACTTGGATGTGTTCTTTGGCCTTTGCTTGAAGGAAATTGACCCCTTTGGCCACACCTATGCATTTGTTAGCAATCTGGATCCTTCCAATGAAGAAAGTGTGGATGAGAGCTGGGACTTCTCTCTGATGGGACTTCTAATGCCTATTCTGGGTGTGATCTTCATGAATGGTAGCCATGCCTCTGAGGAGGACATGTGGCAATTCCTGAATGTATTGGGAATATATGAGGGGAAGAAGCACCCTGTCTTTGGGGATCCCAGGAAGCTGATCACCGAAGATTTGGTACAGGAAAAGTATCTAGAGTATCGTCAGGTGCCCAACAGCGACCCTCCATACTATGAATTCCTATGGGGTCAAAAGGCTCATGCCCAAATTAGCAAGATGAAAGTCCTGGAGTATTTGGCCAAGGTCAATGGTACTGTTCCTGGTGCCTACCAGTCACAGTATGAGGATGCCTTGAGAAGCGAGGAAGAGCAAATACAAGCCAGAATTGCAGCCAGGCTTGGTACATCTGACAGGGCCAGCACCCAACCCAGCAGATCCTCCCAAGTGTAGTACAACTGGAGACAATCTTCACTTTGAGGTTGAAAAGGCCTCTTTGCCTTTTAAATAGTATGTGGCAAGCTGGAGTTGGAAAACCCATGGTGTTTATCTCCCTTGTGTTCTTGTTATTTGGACATAACTTGCACATTGAGCTTCTTTTCCTGTTTCCATTGCAGTCCCTTTAAAGAGCTTATTCACCTCCATAATCAACATTTATGAACGTTTAGGAACACAGGTTGATTTTCCTGTTTACCTAGTTTGCTGTTTTGTAAACCAATTGAAACTTTTCTGCATCCTTTGTTGTAGTTCAGTACAAGAAAAGCCAACATTGGAATAAGGATTTGCTTCTAAAATGTGAAGTTGGGAATCACAAGATAGTGAAAAAAAAAAGAGGTAAAATGTGGCTTGGTCTTATATTTCCTTGTAAGGGCTGGTGAAAGGAGGTTTCCTTGTGGTGCAGGCAGAAGAGAGTTTATTAGGCGAACCAAATTGCTGGCTTGCACTTGAGAGTAGCATGCAGTAGGTAGTGGGGAGTAAGTAGTGCGTGGCATGTAGCAAGTAGTGAGTAGCATGCAGAGATCTGACTGATGATGGAGCAAGATTATATAGGGAAAGGCAAGGAGGAGATGTGGCTGCAGCAGATACGGAAATGACCTCAGAGGATGAGGAAGTGACCTCAGAGCCTGGGATCCTTTTGCTGACTCACAGTCAGGTGATTAACTGTTACAGTTACTGGTTTCGGGGCCGTTGATATTTGGTAAGGCTGTGTGCTGTCCTTCATGAAGAGGAGGTGAGGGAAGGGGGCTGTTCTCTTGGGCAGACCTAACACTCCATTTAGTCTTTTGGTAAAATTAAATGATAGGAATCTGTGTTTGCTTCGCTTTTTCAAAAAATGTATTAACAAATAAATTATTATAATGAGCACTCATGTTCATTGGCTCTTTTGTTCTCCAAAGCACCTGTTCTTTAAAAGAATTTATACTGACTCTATGGATGCATAGACAAAGAAGACCTGGTCTCTGCCAATAATACATTTTAGAGTCTAAGAGGTGCAGTCTAGAGCAAATGCCCAGGACAAGGCAGGCTGATAATATGGGAAAAGGCCAGTCCCTCAAGAGAATGGAAGTTTTTTTTGGTGTGTCCTAGGTCTTAAAGTCAGTGACTGGGTGCTTTCCCTGAGCTTTTTTTTTTTTTGGGTCTGGTCGTGGGGTCTGAACTCTGGGCCTGGGTGCTGTCCCTCAGCTTCTCAGCTCAAGACTACCGCTCCACCACTTGAGCCACAGTGCCACTTTCAGCCTTTTCTTTTTGCTTATGTGGTGCTGAGGAATTGAACCCAGGGCCTCAGGCATGCAAGGTAAGCACTCTACCACTGAGCCACCTTCCCAGCCCATCCCTGAGAATTTTTTGCACAAGGCTAGTGCTCTACCACTTGAGCCACAGTTCCACTTCTGGCCTTTTGGTGTTTCATTGGAAGTATGTGTCTCATAGATTTTCCTGCCTGGACTGGCTTTGAACCTTGATCCTCAGATCTTAGCCTCCAAAGTAGGATTATAGGCATGAGCCACTGGCATCTAGCAGTGGGAGGGTGTTTTTAAGTTAGCTCACATCAGTGGCTATATGAATCTGCTAAGAAGCCACGAATCCTTCAGCTAGTTAGAGTCAGAGTGGAGAGACACAGTTTGCAACAGGAAATTCTCCTAATAGTACTTAGGGGTGAGGCAAATCAAAGAGAAATCCTCATCTGGGGCAGGATTGGAAGGGCTCTTATATCCTTTCCCCATCCAGACGAACACAGAGCACTAAGTAGGTCATTTATGGCCTCTGGGATAGGGAGTGCTGGGAATAAGAAGCCTACTTCTTGGAGGTTGGACATTTAGAAGCCTTGAGTCAGCCCTCTTTGTCCTGCCCAGGGAATCTGGACTGCTCAAATCAATGGGAATTCAAGTTAGGTATCCTGTATACTATGGAGAACTAAGCCATAATAAACAAAATGAATTCCTGACAGCTTCAGACATGTATATTCAATACCTACTCCACTTTTTTGCTTGTTCTTAAATAGCACAACCACTGTGCCTAAACTCTTGTTAAGTCTACCTCCCATTATACCCATTCCTCTCCTTAACTATGCATCTTAGTTAAATTCACCACTCAATTACTCAGGGCAGAAATCTAGAAGTGATCCTTAATTCTCCTGTCTCCCTCATAGCTCACATCCAAATACAACCTAAACCTGACCATTCTTGTTTACTTCTGTCTTTAGAAGGCTCACTCAAGGTTAGCCAATTCCTCTGTTTCTTTCATCTGTCTTGGGGTCATTGCTCCTGTTGCCTCCCCAGGCTGAGACCTTTTCCCTTAGATTGTCCCATGATTCATTTCCTCCCTTCACATCTCTGCTCCAATGTCATTTAGCCTCATCTAACCACCCTATCTAGCTTACTTCTACCTCCACCTGTGTGACTTCCTATTTTCAGTTTTCAAAATACTAAAAACGATTTAATATTTCATGCTCATTTATTTGCTAATTGTATTGACTTCTTTATAAGTCAACTCCATATTTACTGATCATATTTATTAAGCACTCAATAAATGCATGTTAAATGAATACTGAACTAAGTAGATATATACAGAGGAAAAGGTAAGCAAACAACAGTGATCATAAACCTTCTATATACTTCTTTAATCATAGCTGAGAACCACTCTTCTAAGTAGTAACCGATAAAAATATAAATGAATAAAGAGACCAGAGATTAGTTTTTTGAAGTGTCAAAGAACCATGTTTATTTTTTTAGATAATATTTTTAATTCTAGTTTCCATTGTGCAAAAATTTGATGTTTGTTGTTCGTACATGAAGACTGCTTCATCTAATGAGATAAAAATTATATTTGGCACAGCCAAATCTTTAAATAAAATGGCAAAATTATTTAGTTCTTCAGTGGAGCAAATAATTGCCATGGAAGGAAACAAAGAAAACAATTAAGTGATTTCTCCTCATGGAAGCTGGTAGGGAAGAAGAGATGGATAACCATCTTGAATTTATTATAACCAATTTACTTTTTTACAAGTTATTTTTCATGCCTACTATGAAAGTAATTTAATACCCATTATACATTTTGTTGAAAAATACTTAGTGATTGATAAATATAAAAATACTGCAAGCAACGTTGCAATGATTATCATATCATTTTTTTACTAAGCATAATTTCTAAGAGGAGTGGGAAGATTAGTAATGAAGCATTCCAACAAGTTGTAAGCTCTCTAACCTAGCTATTACACTATTGCCTTTACTCCCCAGTAGGAAACCATATCTATTGAAACAACTAATATGGTTTCTTGTTTCCCTAACTGGACTTTGAATAATGGAGCTTTATATAGTCCTAACAAAGAGGCTCACCTGGGGGACTAATGGAGGCCTCACCTATGGCAAATATCTTGTAAGTGTTGACTGAATGAAAGAATTAATTGTTGAATGATGAAAATTCATTTTTATCAGGACCAATATGGTATACAGACTACAAAATAGTTGAGTGAAGAACATAATGGGCCAAAAGGGACAAGATTTGATTTTTGTTTTAAAAGGAGAATGTGGAAAGTTATATAATTAAAACGATATGGAATATAGAGGGGTGATAGTAATTCTATTACAACAGGTGGAGAAGCTTGGATCAGCCATAAAATCAAGGAAGTGAGCAGTAAAGAGTGAGTAAATTCTCTTCTTTTCTTTTTTTGGGTCCGGTCGTGGGGCCTGACCTCTGGGCCTGGGCGCCATCCCTCAGCTCTTCAGCTCAAGGCTAGTGCTCTACCACTTGAGCCACAGTGCCACTTCCAGCGTTTTTCTTTTTGCTTATGTGGTGCTGAGGAATCAAACCCAGGGCCTCATGCATGCAAGGCAAGTGCTCTACCACTGAGCCACCTTCCCAGCCCTAAGAGTGAGTAAATTCTTAAGAAGTAACACTATTCAAAAAGAAATGTACTCATTACTTGACATGTAACTGTAACCCTGCTGTACATCACCTTTACAATAATTTTTTAACAAAAGATTGAGTAAAATAAAAAAATAAAAATTTTAAAAAGAATGTGTAAAATTCCTGACAAAATAATAGCCTAAAGGGATTTAAAGTGAACTGAACTAATTGAATAATTTTCAGAGGCTATATATTGAAATATATGCTTAAGCAATGAATATTGTAATACATTTGAAGAAGATCAGGGTAGTAGTGTACAAAGGGAACCATAGGTTCCCTTGCTGTCTTTCCAGAGCCTGAGGTAATTCATAAAAGACATAATAGTTATAAATTCCATGATGAGTGTATCTGTGTTGATTATTGCCAGACCTTGGATTGGCATAGATGTGTGTCTGTATTTTATAAAATACATATAATTATTCCATCATTAACTGCAACAGAGTCTATAAAAGCTAGGAATATCATATATATATATATATATATATACTGCTTGAACTCAGAGCCTGAGCACTGTCCCTAAACTTTTTTGCTCAAAGCTAGTGCACTTGAGCCACAGTTCCACTTCCAGCTGTTAGATAGTTAATTGAAGATAGAATTCTGTGGATATTCTTCCCAGTCTGGCTTTGAATTGTGATATTCAGATCTCAGCCTCCTGAGTAGCTAGGATTACAGTAGCCTGGCCCTGTTATCATTCATTCAGCAGGTATTTATTGATTTCCTTCTATGTGTGAGGCACTGTGTTAGGTACAAGAAACTACAAGGACTACAGGAAAAGTGAGCAGCGTATCACTTGGAATCTAGTGTAAAGGAGAACAGACTTAGGTGGAATGCACAGGTGAATGGGAAGGAATTAAACTCAGACTTGGTGAATCATGTGATATTTAAAAGGTTTAGGATGAGTAAATATTATCTAGGGGGCAGGGAAGTAAAGCAATAAGCAATGGTGATGAAGCAGTCAAGCTTGTTCATTGTGATGGGGAAAAGACCAATGTCTTGGTTAGCATGATTCTACTCAACACTGTACAGTGAATACAGCAAAATGAAGAGAG